ACTTCAGCATCACTGAGTAGTGGAATTAGGGCTGATTTTGTACGTTTTTGTGTTTTTTCAAGTTTTCTACTTGAACATGTATGGCTTTTGTAATTAGAAAAAGCAGGTATCATTTTTAAAAGAATATATGTCTAACGTATCAATGAGAAAGCAAAAATGTTACCGTGTGACACCCAGAAAGTGTGTCATATGAACACAGATCATTTGGATTGAATGTGTTTTCTCAGGGGCCATGTTCCTGCGCGTGAATTATCAGCAGGCACACTGACTGCATGAAGTCGGGTGTGCCAGGGGCTGAATGATGTTTTCCTAGTAAAATTAGCAATGTCCGCAAAGACCTGCAGTGACACAACTTGATTATAAACGGATGTCCTGTTTTCTGACACCAGCACTCTCGAGGCTGCTATAGGGAGCAGTACCACAATTTTGCAATTATGTGTGAATTATAATGCCTCTGATTTGTATATAAAAGTCATGTGCTGCCCAAATAACCTTCTAAGTATCCTGGGAGCATTTTAAATCATCTTTGGTCTTCTGAGAGTTCTTCTCAGTTAAATGCTTCCATTTCCCCTTTCTTTATCTCCTCACTGTCCTCGACTCAAAACTGCAAATCCAACGGTCTGAGTGGCGACAGAGTTGGAAAGTGTGAGGGAGACGGGGAAGCCCGCCATGCCTAGCGCTGCCCACACGCTGCAGGGCTCTGCTGCAAAGGACCAGCTGCAGGGCACGTTTGTGTCTCACCGCTACCGAGCCTCAGCTCTGTACACATGTGGTATCTCCTTTCCACGAGACTCCTCAATTCCTGAGACACCGTGTGGCTCCACGGCGGGGAGAAGGCTTGCACGTGTCTGCTCCTCTCTGACTAAGGTCAGAGTGAAAATCCTGCTGTGATTAACTTGACCACAGTGTGTCCTTTGGTATTTGGAACTTTGGTAGGCGTTTCTATGATCATCCACATTGTGAATGGTGACCCAGATAAGCTGTGTGTAACAGGAAGAGCAGATAAATGTGGCTCTTTTGATGCCAAATCTCATCCCAGATCTCTGCTGGCTGGAACCTAGAACAAGTCCACCGTGTGTCAGAGCCTCCATTTCCTCTTTCCTGTGGGAGCGTAGCGCCCCCACCTGCCGTCCGGGTTCTGTCATCTGTGGAGTGCTGTGCTGGTCTGCAGTCTTTGGAACTGTGCTGACAGCTTTCCTTCTCCCACTCTGTGTCTGACAGTTTCCTTATGCTGCCCCACCTCCCCAGGAGCCTGTGAAGACTCTGAGGAGCCTGATCAACATCCGCAAGGACACACTAAGACTAGTCAAGTAAGTTCTCCATGGCTCTGTCCAGGGCACGGGTCCCCCGTTCTGCAGGGGCAGCGGGCTCTCCAGGAGAGGCGTCAAACAATGCCTGCCAGACCCGGAGCCTGACTTTCCAGGCCAGCAACTCCTCAGCTTCCTAGATGAGGCCCGCCACACCTCTGTCATTCCCGACTGGTGTGATAGTCTGTGTTTGTGAGGGACTTCTCTGTTCCTGGAGGTGGTTATTACCATCCCTAGTCACAGAATGACAAGAACAACCCTGGGGGAGAGGGTGAATTTGGCAGCGCCACTGGCAGAACTGGCGTATCTGAACCTGGCATATCTTTGTTGTATGCTTAGTGTGCAGATGTCAGCCAGATTTTACCTTGATCTCATGTGTCCTTCCTCTGAAGAGCACATGGTACCCTGGGTGGTGGTCTAACCATGACCACCAGTATTAATTATCTTTAACGCTGACCATCTCTTTGTTACCCATGAGAGTGTGTGCTGTTCAAGTGGACACTGCCCCCAGGCCTTGAGTCTCCTGGGCCCCCTGGTTCCCTGGGGAGACAGATTTAGTCAGGGCAAACCCGAGTCCCCAGTTTACCCAAATGGACGAAGACGATGACTCAGAGATGACCTTACACTTGTACAGTCAGCCTTATTAGCATTAGGAAGTTTATTTCTCTCTGTTAAAGAAAATGTTTACTAGAACAGCTCAATTGAGAGAGAATTCACATGCCACACAGTTCATCCACTGAAAGGTACAGTGCACTGGCCTTTGGTGTGATCACAGAGCTGTGCAGCCATCACCACTCTCCGATTCTAGACCATTGTCACACCCCAAAAAGGAACCTCCTCCCCAACCCTGAGCAGACACTAATCTGCTTTGTCTGTCTCTGATAATTTCTATTTCACTTGTCCCTGAAGGATTCTGCTGCTTCCCAGCTTGGATTTTTCCCATCCCTGGGCCCAGCTTGGGAAGGAGGGTGCCACGGAGGCCCTTGTGTCGGGCAGAGCAGTCTGCCACTGGGCTCTCAGCATCATGGGGCTGGCCTACAGGAGCAGACTGAGCCAAGGCCTGGCAGGGCCTCGGGAGCCTGCCAGCCCCCAGCTCTCTGTCCCTCTTGTCTTCCTCGACCCCTGTGGCATGTTCACGTGTCTGTGGAGCCAGGGTGCAGGCCTCTGGCACGGCCATGTGGCAGTAGCTCGAGAACTGAGCAGAGAGGCTGAGATGGTCTCAAGGAACTTGGCTTGGAGGCAGAAGGCTAGTTTGCTCCCCAGCCCCCCAGTCCTTGAACAATCTCTGAGCTTCAGGGGTCTCAACTTTGAAATAGTGGTGAAGCCTTATTTTTCAGGGCTGTTGTTAAAATTAAACACAGCAACGGGAGAGAAAAGACCTGTGTTTAGGAAACATTCAACAGGAAGGTTTGGTTTGGTTTTCTGAGATGATGGGGGTAAATTCTGATTCTCACACTTTCAGTCAGAGATGGAGGCTTGAACATATCTACTTTTGCTCCTCTCATAACCCCGCCAAATAATCATCAAAGCATTTTCAAAGGGACAGCTCCACAAGAATGGGGAGAAGAGGAGCTGCAGCGACCAGTGTCAGAAACTGGGCAGCAGATGGTGAACAGGAAAGGCCCTCAAGACCCGAGCAATCCAAGTGTGCTGAGCTGGCAGCAGGGAACCGACAGGCGTCTGTGGAGATAGCCCCGAAAGGCTCAGGACTGGCGATGCCAGGCACCTCTGAAGTGGCGGCAAGGCCAAAATGAGGAGGAGTGGGGAGAGTGTGCGCGAGGCAGCAGCTCCGCTCCCACAGACTGCACAGCCAGATCCTCCTCCCCATGCTGCCAGGTGAGCCTCAGTGGAGAAGCCAAAGAGAACCTCTGCACTTGGGGACCCAGGCCCCACTGACAGTTGGTCTCAGGAGGATTAAGATCCTCCCCCTCCGGCTCCCAGGATGCTGGCAGCCAGGCCTTTGTCAGGAGAGAGGAAAACTCTTCTCTGGGGAACCTGACCAGCCGCGTGGGGAGAACCACAAGGTGACATTAAGGTGCCTGAACAAGCAGCCAGCTAGATCGGACCTCAGGGGAGCCCAGTGTCCCCAAGCCCCACTGTGTCCTCAGAGTTCCAGTCTGCAGTCTCAGATCTCTCAAGCTCAACAACCGAAGATTCCTAGATGTGTGAGGATATCTCTCCTGTGAAAGGCAGTGATGAAACAAGCCAACCGCAGGAAAGCAGCCAAGCAGAAGCACAGCCTGAGCAGAGGGAGAAACCTCCAGCAGTGGCCTCAGAGACAGACAAGACGAGCGCCTCTCGCCCATGGACACAGTGACACGAAGCAGCTAGGAAACAAACCGGGACTCTTACAAATTAAAAACACAATAGCAGACACGACAGCGGTCAGAAGAATGGGAAGAAGTGGAGAAACATTCCAGTGAGGAGCAAAGTAGCAGAGAGCCAGGAACCGGGAAAGACAGGGTTAAGAGAGTCCAGTTTAGAGGATCCGGTCTGCAGGTAGTAGTTCTAGAAAGAGGGAGCAGGGAGTACAGAAGGAAGAAAGTCACCAATGACATAGCTCCTCAAAGAACATTTCCCAGATGCCTTCTAAGTTGAAGGGATCTGCAGGCGCCCAGCGCGGTGGGCAGTAAAAGGGAGACACTAGAAGCCTTCAAAGGGAAAAAGTATCTGCAGCTGGAGTCATGCTTCTTGAGAGAAATGCCGGGAGCTAAAGAGGAATGGAGCAGTGCTTTCAAATGGCTTTTAGAAAGTGTTCTTACAACCTAGACCCTTTACCCAGCCGAACTTGCCAGGAGGGTGAACGCAGAATAAAAACAGTGGCTTATCACCATTGACTTGCCATCCCCCTTTCCAGTAGTCATTTTCAGTGGATACTGACTCAGGTAATGGTTCTTTCATTTTCTCTTAAGAGAAAAAAATCATGTCAAGTTATGACCTGATGTGAATGCACATTTAAAGTGTAAAAAAAAAACTCTCAGAAGTTAATGGCCTCAACACACCCTCTCTTAGGAAGGTGAGAGGTAAAAGTGCTCTGCCAAAGTGAACAAGTAGCCCAAGAAAGAAGAAAACACAGGATACAGGAAAGATGAGGCTCTGCAGGACAGACAGAATGACCAGCATGGTGGGACAGGAGAACCTGGGATGCCACCATGTGCTGGAGACAGAGGGCCCGGGGTCCAGAGCAGGTCAGAGGGCCTGCCTCCAAAAGATGACATGAATGGAGCACCCAGTGCACTGGGACGTCCCAAGAGATGTGGCCGTCCCTTGAGAGTTTGAGTATGAATTAGTGATAAATACACAGACTGCTGAGCAACTGGGAAAACACACATGCACAAAGCGAGTGTTAACTGAGAGAAAAAGTTAGGCAAGAAAAGCTAAACTGTAAATTATGTTTCCCATAACTACAATGACGTAGATCCTCTGAGCTAACAGAATCATGGTGTAACTACACTGGGGAGCAGGATGGTACCTCCGTGGGCAGAGTGAGAGGAGGGGAGGAATCCCCATTTCCATAGTAGGAACCAGTCGATAATGCCTAAAACCGAAAGATCAAGTAGTAACCTGAACATGTTATTTAGAAACACGTGGACTGAATGCTGAACTGCTCAGCCAAAGGAGAAAAGAGTGATTTTCTCTGAAAAGGAAAAAAGGGGCAAGGAGTGGAGCCTGCAGTTTCTGTAACAAGCCTTGTGGAAACTATTTAAACTATGTGATTAATAACTTCGATTAAAAGAAAAAAATCTGGCAAATGCACAAGGACTTTAATTGTAGCAGAAATACTTCTGCAATATTAGAGATAACCTGAGTGACCAACAGTGTACGGCGTAGTGACATACTCTGCAGTTGTTCAGAATGAAGGCATCCACCTGTGTTTATGGCCATGCAGGGAAGTCTACAGTGGATGGTTCAGTCGAGAATACAAGCTGATGACTGGTTTCAGAATGTTAATATGCGCCCCCAGAATGCTGAGTCTTCCATCTGTCTGGAACACAAGGAAAAGAAAGAAACCCAAAAATCAGAGAGGGAACCAGACTATCTCCACAAACCACGACCTGCTCCACCTTGAGGCCAGAAGAACTAGATGGTGCCCAGCTGCCACTACTGACTGTTCTGATCAGGGGCTCAGTAGACGATCCTGATGGGAAAGGAGAGGAATGTGGAGCAGAACTTGAAATTCTTAAAGAATGTAGACTTCATGGATGTGGTGAGGCTGGAGGAGTCCTCCAGACTATGCCCCCAAGTTGCTTTTCAAGCCTTGAGTTGAAACTACCCCTGGAAGTCACCATTAAACCAGGGAACACTTTAGCTCAGAGAATAAAGATTGTGACCCTTGAGTATTGCATTCTTTAGAGAGTTTTTTTTTTTTAATCTATATAAGACCGAAGGGTCAACAGCCACTCTGAAGTACAGATGAAAAGGTTGTAGGGCAGAGAGTTTATGTTAACGGGGGTGGAACACCTAGAACAGAAGTCGTGAGAATGTTGGCGCGGATGTAACCACTGCCTCCGACCGTTTATGTCAAGAAACCATAGGATGGGAGCGAGTGTCACTGGGTGTATTTCCACCAAAAACAAAATGTTAATTTTTGAAAATGCTGGGTCTTTCCCGGGTCCTTAGATGTGCGGAGGAGGTGAAGAGCTCTGGTGAAGAGGCCGGCAAAGCCAAAGTCCATTACAGCGTGGAGTTCACCTTTGACACAGATGCTCGCGTGGCCATCACCGTCTACTACCAGGCCACCGAAGAGTTCCACAACGGCATTGCCAGGTGAGAGGACACGGGGAAGGCGGGGGTTAGCGCCCCGTGGGGGCACACATTCCTTCCCGGTGAGTCTGCCCCTGGATTCTGACGTTCCACACAGCCCCGTTTTCTCACCTTTTCCCTTCCAGTGATGCCATCTCAGTACAGTGGCAGATGGCATTATAGCCCTTCAGGTCATTAAGATGGTGTTAGCAATACATTAAGCAACTCTGCCATGGCCCTGTGGGCTGCCTGGAGAGGTACAGTAACAGCCCTGAGCAAGGCAGGGGGCTTGACTATCCAGGACACCCTTTCTGTGCCTCGGGCCTGTTGGTTGCTGGGAGCGGGAGTGACACGGGAGGAAGTTGTCCCACCTGCAGAGAGATTCTAACTTTTGCTTTGCTTCCCACTTCCTTTTGATCAACAGCTACATCCCCAAAGACAATAGCCTGCAGTCGGAGACCGTGCATTACAAGCGAGGGGCGTGTCAGCAGTTCTGCCTGCCCTCCCACACCGTGGACCCCTCGGAATGGGCAGAGGAGGAGGTGAGCCGCCTCTCCCAATTGCTGTTGCAAGAGTCCGGTTCGCGCGGCCCCTTGGGTGTCACGGTCGAGCCGCGCTCCATCAGACTATCTTTTTTATATAGACTTGATTCTGTCCTCTGTTGAGTGTGCACAGCAGAACGTGCACCAGCTCCACAGGTCACATGGATGATTCATTGACGCTGATGTTCTTCAGCCGCGACCATTCTCAGCTCCCTTTCTGAGCTGTTCCTCTCCCGTCAACAGCAACTCACTGCCGCCTGAGGCTGCGCTCTGTTCTCCCAAGTTGCTGTTGTCAGTCTGAGCTCATAGAGATAGACCTCAGAAGAGCACAGTGGGCAAGGCAGATAGTTACAAGCTCAGCTAAACTATTACTTGGTTTTAAGATGACTTCAGGGGATACTTTTTAAAATTTAAAGATTATCCCAGAGCAGTCATTTCAGGGGTTCATCCAGTCTCCATGGCTCCAGAAAATCTGGCTTCCAGTAGAATTTAGAATTCTGTTCTGCATTTTCCCCCTTTTGATCAGGACTCTCTCCCTTCTGTTCTTGATTCTCCTTCTTCCTCTGTTGTTCCAGGGGAACAAAGACCACTTGCTGTGGCTTGAATGGCTGCTTGCAAGCTTTTAAGACCCTAAGTACTATGCAGTGAACTAGGAAGGAGAGCAGAAGCACAGAACACACTATTGGGCCACTTAACTGGGATGTCTGTGAAACCATGACCTAACCCTCCACACCACGGAAGCACATCCCCTCAGGGGTCTGTTGTTCACAAGCAGCCTCGGCAGCCGTTCTTTTCTTTGATGTTGTTGTAGATAGAGCTGTCGCACGGCTGTTGCCAGCTCATCTTCTCACGGTTTTCAGCGGCTGATTTTCAGATGTCGATGGCTAACCCTTTCTTCTGAGGCACGTCTGGGTGGCCTTGAGCCTCCAGCCTTCTGCTTAGTGTTAACTCGTGCATCGCCCAGAGTCTCCGGGGAGAAAACACAGAGCAGGTGCCTCACAAGGCTCGGAAGGATCTGCCTGGACAGAGAGCTGTTCACCTTTCAGCCTGCTGCTCCTTCAGGCCCTTCAAAGTGCTGCTAATTTCGCACAAGGGTGTATTGAACTTCGCTGATGAGTCTGTTCCAAACTAGGTCATTGCTCAGCAAAAATAACCTCCAGGTTTAACAGGCTCTCTTTACCTCCAAGATTTTTAAAAAGGAGCTGACTGGTAGCCATCAGTTAAACAGACTTAAGTGCTACGGGGTAATGGATGAGGAGCAGAGATGAGGCACGGCTTCCGGGCTGGGCCTCCCTCCCTGAGAGGCAGCTGTCCCGTTAAATGCTCTGAGAAAATGTTTTCTTTTCTGTCCCCTGCAGCTGGGCTTCGACCTGGACCGGGAGGTCTACCCCTTGGTGGTGCATGCTGTCGTAGACGAAGGTGACGGTAGGTGTGATCAAGGTCTCCTGGGGCCACACACACACTGCCCTCTGTGGGCCACAGCCCTGGCAGCGGCTGCCACCCTAGACCAGAGGCCTGCTCTGAGAGCCGGCCGGGCAGTCCCCACAGCTCCTGTGTTCGGGATCCCGAGTTCCTGGGGCTGAAGGAACAATGTCAGGTCACGTACTGTGTGCTTTTCAGTGGCAGCCCGCCACATTTAGATCTGCCAGATTGTGGAAAGTCAGGGTGCTGTTTGGCTTCCTCCGTCCTCATCCACATGCCATTCTTTCTTTCAGAGTATTTTGGCCACTGCCACGTCTTGCTTGGCACTTTCGAAAAGGTGAGTGAGTGACCTCAGACAGCCTCACTTCCTGACGCCACCTCTTTCTCTCGTGTCTGCTGGCTGTCTGGGCTCAGCGGAACGGGCCTGCCCTGAGAGGCTGTGGTGGTGGAGTGAGCACCCCTGGGGGCTGCCCCAACTGTTACGTGACCTTCAACTCTGTAGGCCTCCCTCTTCTTAAAGTGGAGGGTCAGACTGAATCCCTGTAAGGCCCTTCCGTGTTAACTAACCAGTTGCTGTTGCATCAATTCCAACACATGGCGACCCTGTGCATGTCAGAGCGCAGCCATGCTCCTCAGGGCTCTCCGGGGCTGACTTTTCGGAAGCAGACCCTTTCTTCTGAGGCATTTCTGGGGGAACTCAAACCACCACCCTTTGGGTTGCAGCCAAGCACATGAACCATTTGTGCTACTGCCCGCTTACATGTTGTCATTGTTTGCCATCGAGTCGGTTTGACTCAGAGTGCCTCCAGAGGACAGCGTAGAGCTGCCCCAGCGGGTTTCCTGGGCTGCCCGTCTTTACAGGAGCAGATCACTATGTGTTTTCTCCTGTGGAGCAGCTGGGTTGGCAGCCGAGCGCTTAGCCATTGCGCCACCAGGGCTCCTTGCCTTCCATGTGAGGATTCTGTAATCCCAGCTGTGGTTGCCCCCAAGAGTACATGTAATTAGAAGTAAAGCGCATCGCGTGTTTCACGGCCCTCCCTCCTTGGTCCTAACCACAATGTTTTCGTTCCAGCACACGGACGGGACTTTCTGTGTCAAGCCCCTCAAACAGAAGCAAGTGGTGAGTGTTTGAGGGCCAGGGCCAGGGCCAGGGGCTATTGGGTGGTGCCTCCTTTTTTTTTTTAACTTCCTCTCCTTTTAGCTAAGTACTTTCCTTCTTCCTCTCCCCCTTTCTCAGTTTTTTCCTGCACTTAAAAAAAAATTTATGTTAAAACACATGTAACATAAAAATTTGCCATTTTAACCGTTTTTAAGTATGCACTCCAGCGGCATTGATTCTATTCACAGTGTTTTACAACCGTCGCCACTATTTAGCTCCAGAACATTTTGTTCACCCTCAACAGAAACTCTGTACCCATTAAGAACTACCTCTCCGTCCCCTCCTCCAGCGCCTGGTAACCTCCATTTCCTCGGTCTCTGTGCATTTGCTGCCTCTAAATAATTTCATCCCAGTGGAGTCATACACCGTTACTCCTTTGCGTCTGGCTTATTTCACTTAACGTGTTTTCGTTTCTCTTTTTGGCTGGATGGTATGTATTCCAGTGTGTCTACATCTACTCCCCATTCTGTTGACCCGTCATCTGGTGATGGGCACTTGGGTTGCTTCCACCTTTGGGCTGTTGTAAATAGTGCTGCAGTGAACACTGGTAGACAAGTATCTGTTTGAAGCCCTGCTCCCCTTTTCTTTAATCAAAGAATAAAAGAAACAACTTGGGTGGCCTATAAGGAATACTGAGTTCTTGTGTCTTCTGTTCCAGAATTGTTGGATTTGAAGCAGCTATTATCTGAGCTTGAGACACGAAAGAAGATTGGTCTCCTGACATTAGGTTTAGGGACAACTCTTTTTATTCAAAATGTCAGAGTGAAAAACGCTTCCAGCAAAAGGATAAAGTGTTAGGGTCCAATTCAGCGACAGTTAGAGCCCTTGACTTAATTTATCCCACTATTCATTTTCCACCCTTTAAAGTTTGCTGGCCATCTGGCCCTACCAGAAAGATCAGCAAGTAATGCTTGTCTACTAGTGTCTCACCCCAGTTGTGTGCCAGCACTTTGGCTGTAGAGGTGGGAGGAGACAGCAGCTGTATCAGTGGGCCTAATTTGGTCAAGACAGGTGAGGAGAGGAGAGTGGTGCCAGGAGGGCAGGTGAGGGGTGGACTGTCGCATGGAGGGTGTGGAGCAATTTGGATAGAGGCAGGGGCTTCCTGGGTAGCAGTGCAGACAAAGGCCCTGCAGATGGTTGCCAGATACTGAAATGCATCATTATTCATTCTGAGTGAAGTATTCACCCCTCTTTTAATGGGGCTAATAGTAGTCAAGGGGAGCTCTGGTGGTATAGTGCCTAAGGCATCTGACTACTAACCAGAAGGCTGGTGGTTCAAACCCTGAACCACCAGCCACTCCTTGGAAGGAAGGTTGGGCAATCTACTTCTGTAGAGATACCACCTCAGAAACCCAAGGAGGGGTTGCTCTGAGTCAGTAACAACTTGAAGGCAGTGAGTTTGGTTTTGAGTAGTAGTCAGTGACATTCTAGTATACATTTGTTAACAGTGCCCTTTCTAGTACAATCATGAGGTTAAAACACTTTGTGAAAGGAGCAGAGAAGGAAACTGATCCGGAGCCCAAGTGCTACCTGGACAGGCCAGGCTCTGGGGAGCTGCCTCCTGGGAAAGTCCTGGTTCTCCCAGAGGCAGCTTGAAGGCCTGGCTGTGACGGGAAGGGTAGGATGACTAAAGGGAAATGTTTCATCTATTTTCTTGCTGCTAGATTGGTGTTAGGAGCTCTAGTGTCATAGTGTCTAAGGCACTTGACTGCTAACCAGAAGGTTGGTGGTTCAAACCCACCAGCCACTTCTCAGAAGGAAGATTGTGCAATCTACTTCTGTAGAGATACTGCCTCAAAACCCAAAGAGGGCTCGCTGTGAGTCCGAGTGGACTCAAGGGCACATAACAACAACATATTGGTGTTAGTAGCAACAGACTCTTTCAAACTAGAAAGTAACAATTAAAGTCAGTGAGAGGCCAGGTCTTAGGGGAGGAGATCACTAGGAGCAGAGGCTGGGCACATGAGTGGGAGTGGGCTTGCAAACAGGAAACAAGGGAATGGCCAGCTTTGGCACTGACATGCCCCAGGCTAGTGGGAGGGGGATCTAGTGTTGGAGACTGGGCTTCGAACTAGTTCCAACTGGTCCAGTCCAGGTCGATGAAGCAAAACCAGAACAGACTTGATTTTCTTAAATTTGGGTGATCTGGAATGCTAACCGGAAAAATTACAGGTCAAAGCCCTGGAATGGGACTCAGAAGAGGCATAGTGAGCCCTTTCAGGAGCCTGATGCGGGGCACTGGATTATTGCGAGGACCGTGGAGAGCGACACACATTCAAAGTAGCTGGTCAGCCACCATCTTTGAGCCAGGCACCGTTGTTTTCCACTCTGACAGTCAAGAGATTTGGTTGCTGTGCAATGCACACACTGCCCTTGATTTCTAAGATTAAGTTTGTAGCAGGACCTCAACCTGTAATTTTACCCGTTCCACTTAGTGTTCCAGTTAGCATTCTGGTTCACCCACATTTTAAAAATTCAGGTCCATTCCAGTCACTTTGTTGGCCATACTGAACCAAACTGAACTGGTTTGAAGTCCTGGTTGAATATTTGGGTTTTAACAAACAGAGGCCCAAGAGGGGGGATTTTGTTGTGTGTGTGGAATTTGGGAGGGGCTGGCGGGCTGAATTGGTCTCTGCTCCAAGGTCTTGTTGTCCCTTTTTGCTTCTATATTTTTCCCTCCCTGTCTTCTTCCTTGCCAGCTTCATCTCCTCTCTTTTTCTTTCCTGTCTTTACTTTTGTATCTAAACATAAATTTTATTACAAAGCTAGTGCTTATCATATAAAGATGAACAATTCCAATATGCAAAATGAAGAAAAACATCACTCGTAATTGCCCTGCCTACCACTCTGAATATCCGTGGACATCAGTGCTCCATCCCTGCCTCTCATGTCTGCCTTTCTCGGCAGTCCGTCCTGGGGGCTGCTGTCCAAGCTTTTGTCATGTTTATACAGTTTCATATTCCCTGTCGAACACAATGCTGGGTGCATTCAACATTTTATTTTTCCCTCTCTCCAAGAGAAAACATAAGTAAATAAAAGCACCCTGTGCTTGTCTAGGCCTTTAATTTTTTTTCACGTGAGTCTGTAGTCCTTGGTTACCAAAGGCGGGTGGGGGGTCATCCTACTCTGGCTTCTCAGTAGAGCCTGTCCTTGAATGTTTCTGTCTGCTCTCCAGGTGGATGGGGTAAGCTACCTTCTCCAGGAGATCTACGGAATTGAAAACAAGTACAACACACAAGATTCTAAGGTAGGTTTTATGCAAAATCCCAAATGAGCTCTTTGCAGGAGGCAGAGAGAGAAATTCTCCGACCCTGTGCGTGTCACGGTAGAGCTGTTCTCTGTGTGGTTCTCAGTGGCTGACCCTGTGCGTGTCACGGTAGAACTGTGTGTTCCATGCGGTCTCAGTGGCTGACCCCATGCGTGTCACGGTAGAGCTGTGCTCCGTGCAGTCTCAGTGGCTGACCCCGTGCGTGTCACGGTAGAACTGTGTGCTCCGTGCAGTCTCCGTGGC